AAAATAACAGATAAAATATAATGTTTCACTGAAAAAATCATTTGAAATTTATTTAGGAGGTCTTACACATTATACAAATAAAATTTAATATTTTTGAGACAAAGAAAAGTATTTTCAATCTTAATATGAAAATCATTTAGCACTCAGACTAGTATTTATAAACACTATCAATATTCATGGACAAATCTTCATTAAAAACTTTTTTGTGTACAAAAGGCTTGTAATGTTTACTAAAAGTCTGCCAAAATTTGTGAAAATACCAAGTGTATTAAAAGTTATAGTATGGAAACTATAACGAGTACAACAGTGGTTACAAGGTCGGTCAATTTGACTGAACCTGTGGAGAGAATTAATCAGTATGTGCAAACTACACTAATAAATGACACTTATTATCAAATATTTGATAGCTTTAACTCTATAACAATGGACTTATGTATCTTTTTTTATGACTTTGTAACCACCATGTAACCATGGTGGTATAGATTCTATGACTGAAAGTATTTAATGTATTTTCATGAAATTTATCAAGCTTTCAGTAAACATTAAAACACTTCTATAGACAAAAAATAGAAATTTTTGGTATTTTCACTAAAACTTTGTCTGTAATTATATGGTGTCAGAGTGTTGTCTGCTCTGAGTGCAAAGTGATTTTCATATTAAGATTAAAACTATTTTTCTTTATCTGAAATTTTTCAAATTTCATATGCATAATCCTAAGACCTCCTAAATAAATATCTTATGTTTTGTTTTTCAAAAGCTTTATATTTTATGCATTATTTTTAATACTATAACTATATACAGAGTCAATCAACTTGACCATCTCATAACCACCATAACAAAGTTAGGAAATAATTCTAAATTACTCTTCTTTACTTTTTTCTTTCTGGAATGACTGTAGATTGTAACAGGAAACCACAATTGTTTATCATAAATAGCTTAAAGCTTGTAACAGTATACATCTGTTTCTACTTAAATTTTATTGTCTTATTGCCCTTTGAACTGTGTCTAACTAATAATCCTGCCATAAAAGTTATAAATCACTCAGCAAATGTGTAGCTCACATTACCCAAGCGAATTACGTAACACACTGGCTACTCTTGAG